AAACCCCAGTTTGCAAATCAAATCCTGCGATGATGGCAAAAGTTTGAACCAAAGAAAGGCCATATATATATATATATACATAGAACATTTGGCTCAGAGGGTGGGTGGGATATGCCATGCTTGTCAATGGCAGCTTAAGCAAGCCAGACCAGGATAGGGCAATGGTTTTCAATTTCATTCAAGCATCGAGACCTGTCAAGTTAGTCTGAAGCTTCCCTGTCGCAAAACGCTCGATCTCGGCAGTGCCTTTTGTTAACATAGTCTTGCAGCAACACCTTTATGCTTGGGTTTTGAATTGTGCATCTACGATTGCTGCCCCCCCTTGGACATGGGGGATGTGTCAGGGTAAGGCTGGATTCATGCGGCCTTATTGATGGCTTTCTTCCGAGCTCCACTGCTGAGTCCTGCGCTGCGCTGGTCTGCGACCTCTCCAAGGGGTACCAGTACGTCCTGGACCGGCATGCCCGGGTGCTCAGACATCGCGAGGAAGAAAGTCTGTCAGAAGAAGCGAGTTTTGAGGGCCCCAGTCATCGATGACCAAACATGAGGGAGAACATGCAGTTGGTGTGGTTTGGGAGCCTCAAGTCTAGCCCGGTCCGAATCCCCATAGCTTGCTATAGGTTCTACCTGTTCACGACGGATGAGGCCGATGACCAGATGCTCAGCACATTGGGCCAAAGTAGTACTTGACAGTCTGGGTTCAGAAGATAGGGCATGGTTGGGATCAGGACCTGGGAAATCACGGAGCTTGAAGTCAGCGTGTTCCCGCAAGAACCAGGAACAGGGCTGCGATCATAAGGTGCATGCCACATGTGACCGCTTGCATGGGTTCAAAGGACGCAGTATTCAGGTGGAGCATTGACAGGGTGAAACACGTGTTCAGGTATATGAAGGTGTGTGAACTTGCAGGATAAGGGGCATGTCGCACACAGGCAAACATCATGTCATCAAGCAAAAAGAAGGGCGCAGCAGCTGCTTGGAGGATAGGGTTGCATTCAATCCGGTTTTGCCAAATCCAAGTCAGCAGTGGTACCTGGTTCTAATTGGCAGTATGCTGCGCAGGGCAGGCAAGGTGAGACGAATCGTCTGAATGGATCTAGACATCGCCTCCCTTGAAATGGACCTAGGGTAGGCTGCAGCAACTTGTGTGCAATTACTTCTTTTTTTTTTGAATGCGGTGCCGAGGATCGCGCACAGCCTCAAACCAGTCCAATGGACTTCTGCTGTGAGAAGACTTGTGCCTTCTACCAGGACCGGGTGCCACAGCAGTTTGGTAGCTGGTTGGCCGGTGACAGTTCTGGTTTGCGAGTATGCACAGGGGACGGTGGGACCGTTTAAAAGGAATAACAAAGAAGGCGCTCGGGAAAGAGGACGCCTCTGAGAAGAGCCAAACAGGACCCTTTTGAATGAAGGTTTTGGAAGCACCGCTCTGTGCAGCTTGGGGCTTGTTCTATGAGCGGCGTCCTTCCCGACATGTCTTGTGGTGGACACAACACTGCCGGTTTTCAGGCTGCCTGAACTTCCTCGTTTTACCATTCGCGCGTCTGGCAGTATTCATTGACCAGTGCAACGTGCACAACTAAGCTTGGACTGCCGTGTTTGCGCTGCGAGGACAAGTGCGGAGAGGGAAAGGGCAGCTCGTCAGCAGAGCGCATGGCGAGGTTCCCTTGAGATACACTTGAAGGGGGCTGAACCTGTTTGAAGTCACTTCAAACTGCCCGGAGAGCGTCGATTTTGGGAAAGACATGACTTGCTGGTGCTCAGTAGGGAATGACCCAAAATGTTAAGAATAAGCCTAGGTATTCTGAAAGGAAGCCATAGGGGATGGTTTCTATTCCCTGCTGAGCACCAGCAAGATGAGTTGGGAACCGCTTTGCTTCAAGGGCCATCGAAGCTTGGGAATCACATTTTTTTGATCTGTTTCGCACGCCCTATCTACCACTTGCAGAAAACCGTCAGTAGATATGGCTTGGGTATTGCCCATTTGTCAGAGGATGCACAGGCATTTGAGAGCTCGGCTACTGTCTTTTTGCCACCATTTTGAGCTTAGTCCTCGGGCTGTGATGGATTCATTTTGATGGCTGGTTTCCTACAGTAGTAGTGTATCAGGAAACCGCGTGCAGGGATTGCTGGCAGCAGACCAGGGCTTTCATCTCCGAGGTGTTTCCTTTCCTATTTTGGAACATTCAGCTATCGTGGAATTGCAGGGTCTCCACACCCTGTGCTCACGGCGGCGAGACAAGGAGTGGATACGGCCGACAAGATAAAGATGGCAACAGCCCGGGCGCCAATCGCTCGCGCGCTGTTTTTGCTGCGGTCATGGAAACCCTGCTTGCGGTCAGGCGAAGGTATGTCCACCGTTATCATGACATGAGCCACAACCAACACCCGAGCAAATGAAGGTTAGTAAGGGACCGTCCCAGCCAGAAACAGCTGCGTCGACCATTTTAATACCGGGTTTTGATTGTGACTCACATATGGCCGTGGGTCAACACCAATGGGATCCCATTTTGGGGTAGGTGCACCACCCATTTTAGAACCTATTTTAGTGGGGATTGGGATGTTCACAGGGGGTACTCGTGGGGGGTTTGGACCCATGGCCATTTGAAGCAACGGATGGCTCCACGCCATGCTTCATTTTGGAACGGTTTCAACTACACGTTTGGCCGGCTTGGACCGGAGATCAGAACAGGCAGTGCAACAGACACCAGAGGAAGCGAAGGAAACGAGGGGTATCGTTGCTCGTTGTTGGGGAGGATTTGGGTAGAAACAAGCAGCTTGAACGAAGCAAATAATTGCCCCCTGATGTTGGGAGCTAGCGCTGCTTCTCAGAAGCTCAGTCAATTGGCTCAATCCATGGAGCATGATTCAAGATTCTGCGTCGTTCCTCCCTCTGAGTTTGTGGCTTCTCCTTGCCCACACACGCACACAATTCGGGCCTCAGTACGTAGACTGGCTGGTTCATGGGAGACCGTGTGTAATCCTTTGACCCCTATACTTCGTCCTAAGCCGACTCTCAACCCCAACTTAAAGCCACCCCTGCACCAACCCCAAGCCAAGTGTACGACCTTGGCATCGCCTCCTGGCCTGCTTCGCATCTCGAGACCGCCACGGACACCGACTTCCGCGGCAAGTGCTGCGAGCCCCGGTGCTCTGGCCGCGCGCCCAGCTTGCTCGCTGTGCCTACCGTACCTTCTGAACGCTCGGAACGCCTCGGTGGAATTTCCATTCACAAAAAGGGGCGTTGGTTTGAGGGTACCCCAACAAAGGGTGTGGGATTAAAGGTAAACCAAAGGGAAAGGTACCCCTAGTTCGACAGACATACCCAGGGGGGAATGTGGCAAAATGCTTGGAGCCAGTCTGAAGTTGTTTTTTACTGGTGGCTTCCAGGACTTCATTTGGAGGGGTCTCTGTTTGATGTTCCCAGGTTGCATTTGCAAAGAGGCCAGAACAGAAATGGATGGTTGAGATTTCTAGGGCAAAGGTGACGGCATTGATAAGTATCTGTGTGCGTGTGTTTATATAATCCGTTTTTGGCCGGCCCAGCCATTGACCACCACACCTTGGGCCTTCATAACCCACCTCATTCTTTCTTTGTCAGATATAGTCAGAACAAATCAAGAAAGTGAATACTCAACCGCCACATTGTCCAAAGAAAGATCCACCATACGGTTCAATTGGACATGGGGGTCTCAAGATTGAACATAGATCTCAAAGAAGGATTTTGTCGTCAACAGTATAGGCTCCCGTCATTTCTCTTTCACCAAGAAGCCTACTTGACTGCCAAGAATCTGGGATCCCTTGGACTTTTGTCCAACTCATTGCTTAACACCAGCAGCAAAAGTGTCTAATTTCAACCTGGGGATTGTGTTGATCAAGGATGGCTCCTTTAGCAAGAGCATGTAAAGCATCGGTTGAGCTTTTCATGTGCAATTTCGACATTGCAGGTAGACAATGCTGCATGCTATCTCACGCCCAGACTTCAGGAAGCATGGACGGGGTCCCCATGACCATGAAACACCTCGGTGGCCGTCCGCGTAGTCTAAGCTTGATGGCACACCTTGAAACAGAGTGTGAGGCTGCCAGCCTCCCTTTTCCACCTTGCCCACCCTTCTCCGAGCCAATGGGCTGTACAGCCTTGCTTTTGTTGGGGCTAGTTTCATGTTGCGACATGTATTTTGTCCAGTGATGCAAGACGAGAGAGAAGTCCTTGCCGTGTTGCGCAAATGAGTGCTCTGGATTTCGGCCGATCTATCGGCCCTAGCAACAAGTAGAAACAATCATTTTGGTGTGGCTCAAAATTAGACAGGAGGGGTTACGCAGATTTTGGTCCATGTTTCCACTTCCCAGGGTTCCATTGTGGTACCGGTTTTTTGAGCCACAGCCATTTGTGCAATTTTTGGTGTCAATGTGTTTGCGTTAGGTGTGACGTGCCCGGCTGGACATCGCCATGATCCCACCTACTCATCCTATCTGGTGTCGAAGGCCAGTATCGAATAGCTGGGAAGGGGTTTCGAATCGCAGTTCTGATGCGTTGCCTTGTAAGATGCATCCGAGCCATTCGAAAGCTTTCTGCAACTTGGCTTTTGGGGCTAGGCGCTGGGAACCTTGCGATGCCTAAGCGTCTGAGCCGCGAAATGCGCATCGCTTGTGCGGAGAATTCGAAATTGCCAGCCTTTTGTTCGGGCTTGTGACGGAGCTAGCGACGTGCTGTTTCGAGGTTTGGGAGGCTCAGTTGCGCCGATTGGCCCTTGGGGGAACCCGAGGAATTGGACATGCTGATTCAACAATGAGCACTGAAAGGCCATGGGCCACGTGTCACGAGTTGTGTCGTTTCAACCTTTGGCTTTGTGGCAATGTGGAGGGAGGGCAACCCGACCTTTTTTTATCGCACTGCGCACCTGAAGGGGGCTTGCTTCCGTGTTTCTTATTGCGAAGCTTGCTCTCCGACTGCAGTGCACAGTGCTCTCGTACCAAAGCGGCATTTTCCGGTGGCATCCATGGCGAGTGCGGCCCTCACAGCTCTCCTCTTGCGGTCCGTGGCCGGGCTGGCGCCCGGGGACTGCAGCTTTGTGGCCTTCTACAGTGACCCGGAAGACTTCGGGCTCTTGCTGCTCCAGGAGAACGCGAGTGGGCGTGGCTTAAAATGAAAGAGTCAGGGTTACGCAGGTTTTGGTCCTTGTCTCCATTTACCAAGGGACCATTTGAGGTACCATTTTTTGAGCCACAGGCAACACGATGGTAGGAGTTTCCTTCAGGGTTACAGCTGGATGAGGCTTTCGCTGAAGACTGTTTTGGGACCGCCAGTCCTCACTTGCAACCCGCCCTGCCAGGACTTAGAAGAGGACAAGATTTGGATCACGGATCATGAGGTTCAGAAGGGCATGAGCGCTCAGAATGTGCGGGAGTTGAAGGTGAAGACGGTCAAGAAGGGGACGGTGTTGACACAGAAGGACTGGGCAACCACGATGTTTGAAGGATGTATGTCTCCAGAGTAACAGAGTAATAGGGCGCCAGTATTGGAAGGTCCGCCATCCGTGGGAAATGCCGAAGTTTCGCGATTGGTTTTCTCTCTTTGCACCATTTCCCCATGGCGTTGCTCTTTCCAAGTCGGTTTTCGATCGGTTCGGCTCTTTCGATCGCTAAGACTTGAGGCCTTCGCAGCGGGCTCTGCGGGGATTGGGCACCTCAGCGCCTTCGGCGGCAGCCTCGAGGCACCGGTGGCGCTTTGCGGCACGCTGAGCAAGGCCCGGGTGGGAACTGAGGGAGGGGCAATCTGGCTGGACGTCGATCTGTCTCTGTGTCTGGTCACTCTGTCTTTTTTCTTTTTTTTTTAATATAAAAAACAAACTATTTGCATGTTTGCATATGTATGTATACACAAAGGAGCGCATATGCGAATGTAAGAAGGTATTCAAGTTGTCACTATATCACTGGCTGACCTAAACACTGCCCCAATTGTGGTCTTTTGAATTCACCTTCTGGGGCTCCTGGATTCTGTTGGGGTTGATGGGGTCGTCCAGATGCATCTGAGGGAAGCCCAACTCAGCCCAGGGTGATCAGAAGGTGGTTCGACAAGGGTTCCCGAAGACTTTGCTCAACTGTCGAGCGGTGTTTCTCTGGTGAAATCACCAACACCGGAAACCACACCCTCCGTCCACAGCATATCTAGTTGTAGCTACACATGTCAAGCAAGGCGAGGGTTCATGGAGCAAAGGATCAGAAAGAAGAGCACCTGAAAGGATTCCATCCATCCAAAGTGTGGAGAGGCGAGGCACCGAGTTGCAAAGTTGGTGCCTATGGAGGGCTTGTTCACGTACAACGACAAAGCCTCGATTTGGAGGTACTGTGGGTGGACGAAATCCTGCAGCACCTAAGAGACCCTGGAATGATGATTCCCCTGTAAATGCCAACGCACAATGGGACTCCCCATGGTTTCAAAGTGGTGCGAAATGGATTCCACATATTTTAGATAGGATGCGTCCAGGGGCTGATCCTCAGCCTCTCAACGCCACGGTGTTGGGATCCCGAATGGCGAACCCTCGACGAATCAGAGGATACTTTGTGGTCCTCGGCCGTCATATTAGCTAGTGTTTTATTGTTGGCATATTCCCACCCCCCGGATCCAGATGGCAGCTTCCATGATCAGATTGGATCCGGCGCAGCACAAGCCACCGTCAACACATTTGTCACTTCCGTGCTGCTTGCGCAGGTTTCTCTTGGAGAGCACGACAATGTGGTTTACAAGGGCGCAAGCTCCGGCAAGAAGGAGCAGTTGCAGGCACGGTCTCACCGTCTCGGCATGACCCAGAGTTTGCAGCCAGACATTCCTATGGCCTGCCTCAACCGGCCTCCAGGAAAAAAAACAACAACAAGACACGCCTCTGTGGGGAGACTCTTAATTCATTCTATGCCGCTTTTCATCAGGACTCGATAGGGCTCAAACAACAAGCAGGAAACATGGGCGCATTGTCCATGTCCGCTTTTGTTTGGATCTTTCATGGGAGAAGGCGCATGTTGCTCGCCTTGCCCTGGCACTGGCCTTGACCCCGGCACCTGGTTGATTTGATTGGTTGACTAGGCAGATTCTGGTCCAGTTCGGTTGCTTGAGGTTCTGGCGGGTGGCTTTAGTTGGTATTGTGCTGGCGAATGGTTCGTGCATTGAGCCCAACCCCGTTCAGCCGGCAACCACCCCCTGCCAGGAGCAAAGGGAGTAAAGGCCAAAATGCCACCCCAAGTCCCACCCTGACAGAACTGCTGCACTGCCCTCAAACCGCCGCAACCAGCTGACCCCGCCCACATTGCGCAATGCTCGAATGCATCCAAGAAGGTGGATTTGTTTTTCATCTTTGCGTGAGACAGCCCTTCTGTGCGGCTTCTTTTGCCCTCTGTGAGGTGCACCAGCCATTTGACCTCGGATTAGCGAGTTCCGTTTCGCGAGGCCTCCTTGGCGGATCCCTCCAATTGGGAGCCCACCCGAGCGCGCATGCTCACGGCCTTCTCCATTGCCTCGGATGATGACAACACGACCACAAGCATGGACATGACCATGACTACTACGTGACTTTGCTGTTGAAGTCCGAACCTTTTCTTCTACTTTTCTTTTTTTGGGGGGGCGGGAGGTGATATTGCTTGAAGGACTGCAGACAACGAGTCGAGAGCGGACTCGAGAACGGACAAAAATGACTGAGCTCCTATCTCTGTAGTTCTTACGCATCAACAGAGCGATGTCATTGCAGTGAAGTGAGGGGAGAGGACATTTTAGTCACACAGGCAATGCCGATCAAGCTTTCATCTATCAACTCAGAAAACGCATACGCTCATGCAATATTTCCTCCATTTATTAATGGTATGGTAATTGAGAACGTCTGACTGTGAGCTGAACGGTGAACTCTGAATCATCTTAGCAAAGCATATACATATATATATATATATATATGTATACCGTACATATATATATATATACATATATATATATATATATATGCACCCCCCCCCCCCCAGGACCCTGGTTTGACTGCATTTTGGGGATGGCACATCTAGAACCTCAAAATTTATATTCTCGACATTTACAATTGTGGGTCCCCAAAGCCTGATAATTTGGAATACCCTTCCCTTCAACTAGAATTGGAATTTTGAATTTTGTTTAGTAAGGATATAGTTTTCAACAATGTGTTTATGTTCAAATACAGCTTACATAAGCAAATCCTTTCCAAATAGGAGCTACATGAAAATGTAAATATAGTTTCGGGTAAACTCCAACTAATCTTTAACAAGAGAAGTTATAATATAGTCTAAGTGTTAAATATAATCTAATACGAACACAATTCAGTTAGCTTTTTTGATAATAACAAGTACACAGAGACTACTTCTCAACTATAATTCATATTGAACATGGCAAACCATTTAAGGGATGTCTACAAGGAGATTCTAAATACGATTTGTGGTATTTACATTCTGGCCCTTTTGTAGCATAAGAAAGGTCCGCCATTGAACTTGTTAGACGGTGTTCCAAAGGGAAATGTCAAGGGAAGAGAGGCTCAAATTCTAAACCTATCTCGAAACAGGGGTTCTAGCTAAATCAGTTGTATTTCAAGTTCTATTTGCACAGGAAACAACCTTCATTCTATCTCAAAAAGGTGGAGGTAGTAGATGAGCAAAGTGGACAGGTAGTTTGTGAACATACATATGTATATCTATATCTATATATATATATATATATTAATATACGCATACATACACACATATATAGTACCCCTAATGATCCTGGGCCTCTTCATAAGATACCGTAAAATGCAGTGTTTTTGAGCTTTACACCTACCTTTGTTTACCTTTTGGGAAAGGGTCAACATGCTTCATAGCTAACATGAAGCACACCGCTCACCAAAAGCACTTGCAAGTGTGTCTAACTAATAACTTGAAAGTGTTTCCACTGGATCGCTAAGCACCTGAAAGTATTTTACCACTGGATGAACAAAGTCAAGACTGAAGATTACACAGAAAACTGTCCTGAGAATATCAATCCTGGCCAAACCCAAACAACATTCAAGTTCTTCCAACACTTGAAAGTGCTTTACCACAGGATTGAGGATTCAACATTGAGGAAGTGCACAAACAGCAACTTTCCTGAGAATCATCCATCCAACGCCTAAAGATGTTCAAGTTGTTCCAACACCTCGAACGTATTTTACCACTGGATTGAAGATTCGAGATTGACATATTCCGCGGAAAGCTTTTCCGAGAATGTTATTGAACTCCGAGAGTATTGGGACAACCCTGATTTTTTTGTCTTTTTCTTTAAATTAATGAAATTCTGGGATTCAAGATTCAAGAAGATTCCCAGAACATATTTTCTCAGATTCTTGAATCTTGAATCTTGAATCTTGAATCCATAAGTTTTTTTCAAACAAAAATCAAAGTTTCTGAGCTGTTCTTGTAGTCTTGCATGCATTCAAACTCTTTCGGATTGCAGAGTCTGATGTCATTGCTTTATCACATCTGTATGCATGCATGCATATCATATACACATATGGCCCCCCCATCCTAATGTTGACACAAAATCCAAGAAGCAAAACACGGCATAAACAACTGGACAATACAGGACAAACGCACCAAACCAGGGTCCATGGCGGGGGTGACCATATATATGTATATATATATATACACATATCCAGTTGAATTGGACAACACCGTTTGTGATGCATGATTCAACCTCCTTTGCTTGAATCCACCATTCCCCGAGCAGTTTGCTTTCCAGGTTCATGCAGAACCACACGGCCACGGAGACCACGATGACGACCATGTACCCGTCGACGACGCCCATGATGACCACCATGGAGACCACCATGGGCACCACAATGATGGGCACGACCATGGGCACGACCATGGAGATGACCACCTCCCGGAACACCGTGAGCAGTGCCCGGGCGGCCTGCGCGGGGGCGCTAGCCTTCCTGGGCCTGGTGCTGTAGAGGCAGGGGGAAGGTTAGCTGAGGCTTTGAAGCGCGGGAAGTTGGGGCAAGGTCCTGGGCAAAAGGAAGACGTGATGCTGGAACAGGGTGATTGAGGGGGGCTGTTTTCAGGTCTCAGAGGCTATCACGAAGCAGATGGAGACAGCACAATGATCCCAAGCGCTTTTCAGGGTCGCTCTTGCACCCGAGGTACAGGGATTCTGCTGAATGTCAGTCACGAAGCTTTCTGATTCAGCTGGATTGGCCTTGCACGACGATCTCAGCACTTGATGTCTTGCCTGAAAGCTCAAAAGTCACTCTCGAGGCAAAACAGACAAAGCCAGGCAAATTGCGTCCCTTTCACCGAAAGTTTCGGCATTAGCCAATTGTTTGGCCACCTGATACGGATTCCTGATAGCTTGACATTGTGGACAACAGGGGATTGAGTGCTGAACCAGCTCCTTTGTGAGATGGAGTTTCCCGCCTTGGAAGCAACGCTGTGCACACTTTGCGGGCCCACAAGGACCTTGATGTCAGGGCAAGTTGTTGTGAATGTTAGACTCTGAAGAGAATCGATAGTCCGCCGTTACAGTACACTGCCGGGTCTCGCACACGGGCAACTTTTTTGAGGTTGTGATTGTGACATGGGAAGATGTCTTTGAACACCCGGACACCCGGGGAAGACGGGATGTCAAATAAACAGCAGCGTATCAGCTTCACCAAGGCACGGCTTCTTGTTATGTTACTTTGAAGTCCGATTGCTAACATCCCACTTGACAAGAAGGTTGCATTGTTTCGAGCTAAATTCATCGACCGCTTGTGTTCATCCCCCAAAGTCACGTTTGATTCTTTCGGATGCAATTGCTGCGCATCTATGTTTGCCTCAAGAAAGAGGGCTATTTCCCAGCAGCTTGACGCATTTGACTTTTCGACACGATTACCCACCTTGAACTCAACGTTCTGTAGCGAGCACGTCACAAAACGGCTCCCCTGGAGTTCCGCTTGGAACAGTGGGCGCTGGTGGAGACCTTGCTGCGTTTCACCCAACCTTCGACACACGCAGAGACGTCGCAAAAGAAGTCCTTGGGGGCCCTGGCGCAGCCGTGAGGATCAGCATTTTGATTTGGGTTTTGATTTGGGTGAAATCGCTGGAGCGGAGAGACCCTACTTTGATGAACGACCCTCGGGTTCTCATGTAAGTCTCTTTCTACATTCTGAGCGATGAATCATTGCCCCGTGCTTGACGGCGCCCGTCACATGACGCAGCCCAACTTTTTGCTTGCAGTCAGCCATTCCGGGAAAGCTGGCCAACCAGACAGATCTCATGGGGACATAGTTGTGAAGAGAACACAAGAACGGTGGATATGTACCAAACAGGTGTTAGTGGGAACACCTATCACCGGGACACAGCTGAGGAACCTCCTGGTACTTCAAGGTCCCAGTTCATACCAAGACTGGTCTTTGTTGAAGGACAGTTGTTTGACAGGCAGGGAGTTTCATTGATTACCTCCAGAACGTTTGCAGGTCATCCTTCAGGCACGGCCCGCATAGGCCCTTAAAGCTGAATCGAGAACCTCCTGCCGCTTGTGCTGATTTGCCATTCTCGGAATATTGCTGGATCTTCGTATTCTTATGTCCCGGCCAACTCCCTCGCTGGGTGAAGCCCCGTGCTTCTGGCAGATTTCGGCGAGCATTCCGTGCGATTCCCGGGGAAAGTGGAGCAATCTCCAGAATCCCCTGAGTTCAGCCCTGAATATCGGCCAGGCGGAGCCTAGCTCACTTCACGTAGCCATTCAAGACCATCCGGTCAAACATTGAAACAAAGCCGACCACCAAAGACTTTTCTTCAAAAGCTAGAGTGCTCCGGCTCTCTGAACGCTCTTTCAAATGCTCTTTCAATCGTTTGATAGAGGAAACACATATCTTCGAATGCTCTGCCAGGAAACCGCTTGAGACTCTCCGATTTTCGAATTTTCGTAAGACCAATTTGGTCCGCAGGTGCCAGCGGGGTCGGGCTGCTGCCAGCCCACCTGCAAGTCCTTCAAGTGCTCCGCCGGCGCGGAGCCCCAAGGGAGAAATCCGCAAAAATGACGTGGCAGTTGGGTGCAGGGTTCTGTTTTTTGACCCCAAGGTCGACTTAAACCCAGGGGTTTTCCTTTTGGGGATTTCCGCCACCTTTTGGTTTAGGGCGGGTCTTTCTTGCTGTGGATGGTTGCGAAATCCATTTCGCACCGCTATGAAACCATGGGGAGTCCCATTGTTCGTTGGTATTTACAGGGGAATCATCATTCCAGGGTTTCTCAGGTGGTGCGAAATGGATTTTGTCCATCCAGAGTAGGATTTCAGGATTCGGACCCCCCCAAATGGCCTTCAAGGTCTTCCTTTTGGTGTTCCTTCAGAGCGATCAACAAGGAACCGGTACCCATCCGATCGTAATTTCGATGTGCCTCCGGAGCTTCGGCTGTTGGAATCTTCCGAAGCTCAGGGAGCACAGCCTTCAGTTGGGCAGGCGGGTACGAGTGTCATGGGAGTCTACGTGTCCCCAAGCTTACCCGGCTGTGAGCAAGACTAGAGTCGTGACTCATGCGAACCTCGTATGATTCTGATGTTCAATTTGCGGTGTGCAGCTCATTTCATGACCACCAGCATGATCATGGTTTGGCTACCTCGCCTTGAATGAAGACCCACACGCGTGGCTTTCTTCCATTTTCACCAAGCGGTGCGTCAGAGCCAACATCGACTCGCCAAGGCTGGGCCAACAACCCGGATGTGGCCCGCAGCTCAGAGCGCGGGGATTGTGGAACTGACGGATGTGTCACAGATTCGGGGTCGTGTGTGTGTGTGCATGCAAAAGGTTCTCCCTAAAAACGAGGGATTCTCGCAGGCTAGTGGTTGAGGCGCAACCTTTGGGAACTGGAGGTCCGAGAGTCAAGGTCATGCAACTTGCAGAAACCATCACTTGAACACCACCCCCAACCGAAACAGCTGCTGGAACGCGGCCTTTCCGGAGTGTCAGGTTGGAACATCTCAGCAGTTTTGCCCGCATTTGTGGCCAAGTTGCACAATGAACGCTGAAACCCTCGAAGGAAATGTCAACCCGGTCGAAGTTTTCTCTTTTTTTGTTGAGCCACGGAGGGGGTGGGGGGCGGAGGGGTTCGGCGCAACCGTCTTGAAGGCTACCAGGTGGAGCATGAGGAATGTCTCTGACTTGGGATGGATGTCACGTCAGGGTCGCTGGGCCCTGAACAGAACCCTTGCTTGAAGGGGTAGGGGCAAGATAAGGGCAACGCGTGCAGCAAAACAACGTGCTAAGGATGACTTCGTCTCCACCTCCCTGACCAACTCGGATTGCTGTTCGCCCACCTGCGCGCAGCACGTCTGCGGCAAGGGTTGGTACAACAGCAACCTGGCAGTACCAGGAAAGTTTAGGGCGGAGCAGAGCTCCCTTTGAAATGGTAGCTGCACTGGTGACAAGAGAAAGTAGGCCACGAGGCTTTTCACAAAATGTGTGCTTGAGGTGTTGATATAAGTGACTGTGGCACTACAAACCAGTCAATCGTCACTACAGATCTCCCGGACTTTAGCCCGATGGCGTGTAACCATGGCGCCTAAGTCGGCCAGGCCAGTGACCTTTCGAACATGCTTCACAGATGGTTTTGCCAAAAAAAAACTCTCCCGCGAGCGGCCACTCCTCTTCGCTAGGATTAGCTCTCCCCTAGCCAATCTGTCATTGCTTCCTTGCCCTTTTGGGCAACTGATTGGAGTTGGCACATGCAACCATCACTCGGAGGGCATGGGAATGTCACAACCTTCATGATGAACAGAGAACATCGTGCACTTGCAAACATCGAAGGCTATTGCTCGACCCAGTCATCCATGTTTACAGGACACATGTGATGTGTTGGTTGACTTTGCCGGGCTTCAGTCGTGAGTTTCGAATTTTGAGATCTAGCAGACAAGGCAGGCTTCTGAATCAACATTTTATCCCCTCAGTCCTGATTCCCTCCCAACATCTCCAACAGGTCGTACAACTGGTTTCCTTGAGGCTTCTCAAAATTGATTCGGGGATGGTTTCCCGTTAAAGCACCATTTCGGGGGTATCTCCGAGGACCCCAGTACAATAGGTGTGAATAAGTCCAAGCGTGCTCAAGAACCAGAAGCCTCCCCGAGCTCAATCTCAAGTACTCCTGAGTTTCTGTGACTGGCAACATGTAGGATCTCAACACCACACGCGGATGCATTTGATCATCTCTGCAAATGCTAGGCACCGACGCTGCGAAGTTGTCCAAGGCCGATGTTTTTTTGTGGCCCTGGGGGACCGGTCTTGATTCCAGATCTAGACTTGCTTTGTGGCGGGTTGAGTCTTGCGACCGTCGGTCATTTATCACTTTTTGGATTCGCATAGAAGGGCATTGTTTGGATCTACTGCAAGCCCTATTTGATACAATCAAGTGAATGCTGAGCATGCTTGGGCATGCCTTTGGGTTTGACCAAGGGGTTCAAATAACTCAGTGCGACACCTTGCAGGACAAGATGCTTCGCGCTGGCTCGATATAATCCGAGATTTCCGGACCCTTGACACAATGCACGCGCCCAACACTTGCCTGAGGAAGGCTGTGTTACTTGAAAGGCACACCAGCCCCAGGCCTTTGAACCTCAGAAAGGAAAGCACTGGCGATCATGAGGGGCACTGATTTGAAGCTGATCTCGGCACCGAAATCCTTGGATGGGGTATTGTGGTGTTCCTGATGCTGGCGATGTTGAGACAAAAGCGGGGGACAAAGCACGCCCCAAAGAGAAATGCGGTAGCCGCATGCTCAGGGAACCCAGGCTAATCTACCGGCGCAATTCTCAGCACCATTTTTCCAAGACGTGTCCATCAAACGAGCTTTTTGTGAATAGAGAGTCTGAGACATCGTCTAGACTTCACACAGTGCACCAACTTGGGAAGCACCGAAAAAAATAGGCGCTTACATGTCCACTGTTTGGAGGTGATGCCTGTTGCAAGGACAATTTCTGGAGCCAGCGACATCTGCACTTTCTGCAATTTGGCTGTGGGTCAAAACCAATGGTACCATTTTGGGGTAGATGCATCACCCATTTTAGAACCTATTTTAGTGGGGATTGGGATGTTCACTGGGGGCTCACCGATTTGGGTTTTGCCCCATGGCCATTTGGCACGCAAAAACGGTTTCTCCGTCTGCAGGTGGGCAGCTCCGACGCCCTGTGCTGCGAGCCCAGCTGCAAGGGCTTCACCTGCCCGGCAGGAGCGAGCCGAACTCGACGAGCTCGCCCGGTCGCTCGTGGGAGTTTGGCTTGTCAAGGCGGCCAAATCGAAGCGGCCGAGTCTTTTTTGTCGTTTGAAGAATTCAACCCCTGCTGGCATGGATGGCATAAGCTGGCGTTGGGGAGACGACACGGTTGATTTTGGGGCATTATAGCTTGAAGAAGCCTGATATTTGGTCCATACTGTGGATGGACAAATCCATTTCGCAGCACTTTGAAATCATGGGGAATCCCATTGTTTGTTGGTATTTACAGGTGAATCATCATTCCAGGTGCAGGATTTCATCCATCCGCGGTATTTAGTCGTTTCCTTTGCAGCAAGGCGATCACCCTGTATTTCCCGATCCTTTGGGCCAGTGAGTTGTGAGATGCAAAAACGGTGTACACCATCCATAGCCTCAAGCTGTACTTGCAGTGGTTGCATCATGCAAGATGAACACTTGTAAAGACCCTTGCACGTCAAACAAATACCTCCACAATCCTTTTCTTCCCTCCGTTTCACAGGGTTCCAGCCAACCTCTAGCAGAACTGTGCTCAGATGAATTGTGCAAAGGTGTCAAGAAACTAAGGCCTTGTCTTCGGGGGCTTTTGCTTTGCCCCGGCAGCCGAGCCCCGACCGAGCGAGTCCGCCCATGATACCCGGACTTCTCCACAAGTCTGCCTCCTTTC